GTTTCAGGATTCAAACTCACACACACTAACTTGTTAGGTGAGAATAGCAATATACTCAAGGCTGAGCTAATAATGGCAGACAAGAGAAAGAATGTAAATCAATAAAGTCTTTTGGAAAGAAAGCTTGCCTAGGTGATTTTGCTTTCAACAAGAGGACACTGAAGAGTGATCAAAATCCAGTCTGAAGTTCAGAGAGCCGAGTCAAACTTGTCAGCCCATCCAAGGTCAGTGTTTCATGAGCAGATTCATAGCAATGACACTCAAGAGCAGAAAATAAAACTTTTTTTTTCCAATGGAGAAACATGAATCATTGCTGTCTCTTAAATCAGGGTATAGACAATTATTTTTTAATTAAGAGAATTACTCATTAAGCCTCATTGAGAGTCTTTGTTCTGCTTTCCACTCTACTCACTGACTCAGCTGTTCTTTGATCAGCCTCAGGAGATTCCTGGCTTGGTATCTCCATTGGTTCAACTGGAGCAGTTTCTTCAAGGTCAGAAACTGAGACCTTGAGCCATGACAGACAAAGCACAAGATCATATGACTGAACCATTTAGTGGCAGCAGTTCCAACAGTTCTGGTGTGGTGTCACTGTTAAGCAATGACCTCACATGATCATAACGTTTGATGACTTCTTGACTTCCTCAGGCTTTATTTGTGGGAAGCTGGCAGGGAACATCAGAATCACATGACTGGGGTGATTTTAGAATTGTATCTGGAAAGTTTGTAAATGCTAAAGCTTTGTGAAACTGATGTAAAGCAAGACTGGGATAAATTTAAAAAATACCTTTTTCTGGAAAAAGTCAGTTTTGTTTACATTTCCAAAGCAAAACAAGATTTTGAAGGTTGATTACTAAAGAACAAGTTGGGTATTTTACAGGAGATGTTTCATCTGTGAGCTTGGGAAGTGCACAAGGTTTTTAATTCTTTACTGGAACCAAAAGATGCCATTGAAGATGAATTAACTCCTTGAATAGAGCTGAAATGATCTTTAAGGTAGATTTTAAAATTACCACTTATATGATGGAAATACTGGATTGACAAATAGAATTGGATGTTCATTTAAAAATCAAAATGGATATGCAAATAATGTACCAAATGAGTGATGTCTACTACTTTTTAAAACTGAAATATAAGAGATCCACTGGACTTATTTCATGGATATTACAAATGCTAGTAGAAGAAAACAGAGTTAGAGTTTTATTTATAGGACTTCTCATTGCATTCGTGTTTGATGCATTTCCTGGTTGAAAGGCACTTCTGGGCAGGGGTGAGATTTTACTGGTTCGAACCAGTTCTATAGAACCGGTTGTTATGATTCTGCGCAGTTCAGAGAATCGGCAAATCATGCCTCTGGCTTGCCTCTCCCCAATCCGCCTGCCCCAGTCAGAGTGTGTATGTGTGTGTGTGTGTGTGTGTGTGTGCTGAGCCCCCCTTCTGCTCTGTTTTTTGCCTTCCTGAGCCCCAGGGAAGCCTTCTGGAAGCAAAAATGCCCCCTCAGGAGGCTTCCCTGAGGCCCAGGAGGTCAATAAATGGAGTGTATGGGGGGTCTTCCTGGGAACAAAAATGCCCTTCAGGAGGCTTCCCTGAGTCCAGGAGGCAAAACTGGGGGGGGGGGGGAGAAGAAGCCACACCCACCCAGTCACATGGCCATGCCCACCTAGCCACACCCACCTAGCCATGCCCACAGAACCATTGGTTAAAAAAAATTGAATCACACCCCTGCTTCTGGGTTGAAAGCATTAGCTGGTGACTATAGCCCTGGGGACACCCAATTGGGGGCTCCTTTTATGTACCCATTAATGAGCCCATTGAAGTGGTACCTTTCCATCTATTCACATTTGCATGCTTTCGAACTGCTAGGTCAGCAGGAGCAGGAGCAAATAATGGGAGCTCACCTGTCACACAGTAGCACTTGGGTCTTAAATGTGGGCTTGCAGATTGTCAAACCAGGGTTCTAACCTTATGAGCTACCACACTCCTACTATACAGGGCTTAAATATGACTGGGAGGAAGAAAAAAAATACAAGTCATTTATTTGATTATGACTGCATAAGGAGTTGCTATCTCTGGTGATGCTCAATGGTTATCTGAATTGGATGGTTCTGTGTTACCATCATTTACATTTGATTTTGGAAATATTTAACAGCATAATGGATTATTTTGTAATACCTACTGTATATCATTATGTTTTATATCTAGATAAGGGGTTGTTTCTGGTAATGTTTACATTTGTTTTATAATATTTAATTGTCACTAGAGGGATAAGGGGGATATAGACAAAATGGAAAGGGGAATTATATACTTAAATTGTTAGGTATTTATGTTAATTTTAACTGAACCTCCACTGATTAATAAGGAAAGGTGAAGATTTAGAGATGGGTTTATAGAAAATCGGATGGAACATGGAATGAATCCGATAGTATTTTAAGAGTCAGTGATACATTGTTAATATTGAATATACTTGCTGGGGATGAAAGGGGAAAATTTCCTTACTAGTTTCTATAATATATATATAATTAAACTTTTTAATTTAGATTTTTATATAGTTATATCTGTTAAATATAATTCTTAAGAAAACTTTAAAAGCCATAGAAGAAATTATTTTCCAATTCAAAAGAACATCTGATCACTACCCTATCTCTGGGTTTTAAATTGGAAAATTTTAGAGTCAAAGAGAAAATTGTAAAGGTTTTAAAGAGTGCAATGGAAAAATGGAAAACAACTATTATGGCTAATACAGAAAATTCAGAAAAGGGATTTTTCAAGGAGGCTGTTTGTCTTCACAGATAATAATTTTGAACAAATTATTGAGCCATATTACTCGAAAGGTTGCTGTTGTATTGTCTTATGTTAATTTTTATAAGAATAGATTTGCTGCAGCAATCCATTTTCTATTTTATATATATATTTCTGTTTCTGGTCAGAAACCATTATAAATAAATTTCAAGATGTCAATAGGTTATGAATTATCCAAGCAGCAGATGAATATTTCACATTTGTTCTACATGGATATTTTGAAACCATATGCAAACTCACCTATAGAAATTAAATAACTTTTAAGTGCAGTTCAAATGATGATGTCAAAAAGAAATTTGAATGGAATAAGTGTGCAACATTGGTAAATGGAAAATAAAACATGGAACTGTGGAATGGTATTAAATTGAAAGCATTGATAACTGTGAAAAGTTTTAAGTATTTGGGATGTTTGAAGCAAACAGTATTCCGCATCTCTATGTGAAAAAGAAAACCATTCATAAATATATAGGTCCATGATGGCAAACCTATGGCATGAGTGCCAGAAGTGGCACGCAGAGCCATCTTCATTGGCATGCGAGCCATCACCCCAGAGCAGGTGCGCAGCACAGGCGTGTGCACCGCCCACCTGCCAGCTGGTCGTTGGTAACTGCTGTGAATGTGCAGGGGCAGGGTGCACGCAGGAAACATGCACACAGGTGCAGAATCGCACGGTGCATGTGGGGGATCACACACATGCGCAGAGATGCACAGTGCACAGGGGGTCATGTGCACATGCACAGGGGACATGGTGTGTGTGTGCATTGCCTTATGTGCACTTTTGGCATGTGAGGATGGAACCATCACTGATATAGGTTATGTTAGTTGTTTTAAAATCAAAGGTAAATGATGGTAATACAATCAAAACAATTTACTTGAGCTATTTAATCAATTCATTATAAGCAGAACTAAATGTTTTAGATACAAAACCCCAAAACGTATAAAAACTTCATGCACTCCATTCCTGAAGTCACCATAGTTTATATTTAACAAGGGAAATTGATGATTGTAGTTTGTTGCAAGTGAAACATAATAGTGAAATTAGGGGTCTAAATGATTACATAAAAGCCACCAAGGAAACGATGTTAATAGTTGTCTACAAGGAAAACATGTTGAATGTGATAGAAATAAAGGTGGCATACAAAACACAACAGTTTCAATAGCAAATGAACAATTGTAAAGATATATTTCTACATGGTTAATATCTGAAAGAAATTGGAAACAAATTGAATAGCAATAAAACTTGCAAACAGCTTCAGAGTGGATCCATTAAGAAGGAATCAGAAGGCTTAATGTTTTCAGCACAAGAATGAGCACTAGCATCAAATGCCACAAAAGAAAACAAGAAACTACAGAAAATATAGATTATGCAAAGAGAAATATGAGACTGTTGAAAGCTTTTAATCAGCTGTAGCAAATTTCCCCAGTGTATAGAACAAGTCCATTGACACCCAAAGTAGTAAAAGAAGTAAAGAAGTATAAAGAAAGGCATGACTGGATGATAAAAATAACTTAGAATTTATGCAAAAAGTAACATTTGATTATATAAACATTGAATTTAGTTATGTTGAAAAAAGTGTTCCAGAATGACTATATACATTTTTATGTGATTTCTCGATACAGATGGACGAGCATCAAGAAAAGCAAGTTTTAATTAGAAGTACAATTAGAATTCTTTTTTGGCCAAGTGTGATTGGACACACAAGGAATTTGTCTTGGTGCAAATGCTCTCAGTATACATAAAAGAAAAGATACATTTGTCAAGAGTCAAGAATCATAAGGTACAACACTTAATGATAGTCATAGGATACAATAAGCAACCAAATCATACCACGAAACAGCCAATATAAATTGTAAGGATACAAACAACAAAGTTACAGTAATACAGTCACAAGTGGGAGGGGATGGTGATAAGGAGTGATGAGAAGATTAATAGTAATAGTAGTGCAGACTTTGAAAATAATTGAACAGTGTTGAGGGAATTATTTGTTTTGCAGAAGATGGCGTTGGGGGAAAAACTGTTCTTGTGTCTAGTTGTTCTGATGTGCAGTGCTCTATAGCATCGTTTTGAGCGAAGGAGTTGAAACAGTTTATGTCCAGGATGTGAGGGGTCTGTAAATATTTTCACAGCCCTCTTTTTGACTTGTACAGTATACAGGTCCTTGATTGAAGGCAGGTTGGTAGTAATTGCTTTTTTATATTTTTATATTTATAATTTATATTTATATTTATAGAATAGATGTAGCAATACTCTATGACATAGATGAGTTCAAAATGAATACAAAAAGGCTGTAAAATATTGAGATTTAACAATGAAAGAATAAACAATTACATGTTTTTGGAACACTGGGAGTTATAAAAATAGATGCGTCAAAACAGCTAACAGAATTAACATTATTTGACCTCATAGCATTTTTTTTTTAAAGACAGCTTTTTGGAACCACAGATATAGTGGCATCTGGATAAATCTTTTTTTTTTTTAATGCTACCCATATCCCCTGTAAGGTGATACTTGAAGGCAGATACAGGAATACTTGGAGGGATAACACTCCAGTGTGTAGTATGGACATGTAGAAACAATAGAAACTTCTTCAATGCTTCTACTACAGAGATATTTACACTAGTTTCAATTTACCACTACTACATAAATACCCAGGGTGCACAAGAAAAAATATACTATCCTATTGCTTTCAAATACCAACCCTAGCACAATATCCATGCTTCCGGGTTCAGTGCAGTAGTCCTCAAAAATTGTAAGATGATGATCTGTATTTGGGGCTCAACTTTGAAAAAATTTATAATGACCATCTAGTTTTCAATAGTGAAATACTTTGTAACTTGATAGTCTTTCCCATACTATTTTTTATACGTTACCTGCTTTTTTTAATGAGTGAATTCTACCCCATTATGCTAGAGTATGTCCATAATAAAGAAATTATTTCATCTGATCTGGCTTAAGTTTTGAGGCAAAACTTGAATTTACTCTAATGCATTAGCATTTTATGAGATTTTCTCAAATGATACTATATAACAACGATAATACCATATCAGTTTTTATTGCTTTAAGAACTAATAATTTTATTGTAGTTACCCACTTTTATGTACAGTAAGACAAGAAGTTAATAATAGCAAGTTAATTTTGCAAAAAATTCAGTGGCTGAAGAACCAAAAAAGAAATATTATTTCTTTTATTACCTATCCCTTTGTTAATACATGAACAATACTAAGCTCCAATGAACTGTATTTTATATAAGTGATAATGTTTTAGCACTACATGCAGACTATCTCAAAGCACTATGCATTGTCAATAGAAATATTACTATTTTAATCAAGCCTGGCCAGCTTTTAACTTTGAAACTTTAAATAAGACACAGACTCCAAGCTAGATATTGTGATTCAGGAAATTACTTTGAAGGTTCACCAGAGCTTTCCTAGATTTTTGCTGCAAGGCTTGTTTTCTTGAACCCAAGTCTGTTTCCTGTAGCATCATAATATCTAATATCTAAATCATATATGTAAATAAACAAACTACAGAGCCAGTTCCCACAAAGTAAATATTAGAAGAAATGGTTTCCACATCACAAGAGAATGGAGAACCAACAAAAACTACCAGAAGTATGTCATGGTTTGAATAGCTAAAATAAAAATGAATCCAAGTGATCACTAATAAGCAGCTAAGAGTTATTGTGTCCCTTTGTTGTCACTTATTAGTTATCCATATTTTTAAAGCCCAGATGTGGAAGTCCTAGATCTGGCAGTCTTGTCATTTTGCAATCCAAGAGACAAATGGAAATACCAAAAGAATACTTGATGAATTCAAATTCATTTCTAATTCATAGTACATTAAGCAACCATGAAGAAATTATTAGAAAAAATAAATAAATGTTTAAGATGAATGTATAAAGGAATAAGATAAGATTGTTAAAAATAGATATATTAGATAAGATGTATAAGAGAATGTGATTATTGATACATTGGTAAGAAAAGTATTCATTATAACTGTATGCACACAAAATATGTACCTAGTTGACACACAGTTGAAATGGAATGGAATTATTGTATATATAAAATAAAAAACTATTTATAAAAAAAGAAACTGTAAATTCTAGCAAAAACTACATGACCATATTTAATGTGAGAGTGCAATAATCTAGACTGTGGTGATCATAAACAGAGTTTTCTTATATTTGGGGTAATGTCTACGATATAACAAGTATAGTCATTTGGACTTCCCTACCCCCAATAACACTTAGAAAAAAAATGTTACTCCTTTTTTCATTGGTAGTCCATGAAAGCAGAAATATATTTGGATGAAATTTATTGTCTGGACCTTTGGAAAAGATAAGAGGATAACGGATCTGATTTAACGAGCACAGCTATCAATCCTGCTATGGCATTCTCTAACTGCATTATCTAAAAAGGACTATTTTTTGTATATATTTATTGAAAAATTATGATAACTAGAGAGAGCCAATTTCATGTTAAGGCATCAGACTAGAAACTGGGAAAGCATCTTAGGCACAAGGCCAGCTGGGTGACCTTAGGCCTTGAGTCCATCCTTCTCTCTCAGCCCTAGGAAGGAGGCAATGGAAAACCGCTTCTAAAAATCCTGCCAAGAAAATTGTAGGGACTTGTCTTTATATGCTCTAAGAATCAAGCACAGTTGGACAGAAGAGGGGGGAAAAGTAACAACCAGAAAACATGATAAAGTACAATTAAAAATATAGTATTCTTGGTAAAAACAGTAAAATATATATGTAGGATAATGAATAAATGAATAACATTCATAGCAACTAAAACTACATCCATAAAATGCTAATATAAAACTAGTTCTTCCTTAATAGATGATTAAATCTAGCCATGTAGACTATCTATTGCTTCGTTTTCCAAATTTTAGCACAATAAGTTATTCTGCAATTATTAATATGATATTTAATGAAATAGGATTAAATATTTTCAGAGAGCAAATTAAAAAAAAAAACATCTGGTACCTTTTTATAGCTTGATATCCTTAGTATAAAAATAGAAAACAAGTTATTATGTCACAGGACAAAGAAAGTTTGTTAAGAAATCAACTTACCTATTTTGCCATAATAAGTTTCTTTAATATTCAAACTACTCAAATCTATTGTTTTTTTTCCCCCAGATTAAAATATTTGGACTATCCCTCTGCAATTCCTAAAAAAATAATAATTTGGGTTTTAGTAAATAATGTTTTAATACTAATTGTGCACTGTCATAGTTCCATAAAACAATAACTACTAAAAGCACTTTTCTTTGCATTTTCAGTTGATTTTTTTTTTTTTTACAGCACATTCACTGGATGTATATACAGGAAATCAGGAACTGATCCAAAACTTTGTCACCTCCAAATCATCCCTTCATATCCTTTCTGGTTAGCAGTTTACTTTTAAATCTATAAATATTAGTATTATATAAAATGTCAAAAATAGGTTTAAATGTTAATAGTAGCAAATAAGAATAATTATGGCCACATGCTGATATACCAAGCTTGCTGAATGACAATTTATTTCATTAAAAATGTGATCATCATTTATTTTTCAGGCTTGGATGATTATTTAGACCAATTTAGTTCATTCCCTGCACATTTTAAAGGAAAAATTAATGTTTGAAAATGTAGTACTTTCCTGTTAAATTATTTTACAGGTTGAAATTATGGGTTGTCACCTATAGGCTATTGCTGAAGAAAGCAGCATTTAGCAGCTTGTTTAAGTGAAAACTCAGCTCTTCCTAAGAGATACCACTCTTTTATTCATCTTCAAATAATAGATATTTGATATCTCATCTGAGCAAGAACCTATTACAGTAATAATTCACGTTCTAGTGTCTTCCTTCTTAGATTAGTGCAATGCAACAATCTCAGAGATAGTTTAGAACCTGCAAACACAGCAGTTACTGCCTCTTTTGAAATATCTATGGTAGAGTATTTCTTTCAGCTGAATGCAATTCAAGATTCCACAAGGATAAACTTCCCCAATATCAGCTTGTCCAAATGCTTTGTTTGCTTCTTTGTTTATGTGATTTATTTGTTCATGCATCTCACAACAGTGACTCTGGTCATTAGAAGGATTAAAGCATGAACAGTACCCAACTATAAGCAATAAACTGAATCACAGATGCATGCACATGTACACACACACACAGAGAGAGAGAGAGAGACAAGCACATCTACAGTAACAGCAGCAGTACAAATAATGTTAAATTAGACATGGAGAATCACCAGCTAGGAAACCTATCCTTGTATCCTGTCCCTAAAGAAATTACCTGATTCCTTATGAAAAACCCCATAGTATTAAAACCCTACCCTTAAGAACATGACCTACAAAATGATATGTTCTTGCTTATGACTGCTTACTAGTGAGAGAAAGGCTGAATCAAAATTATTTTTTCTTTTTTGTTAAAATGTGCTCATATCCAGTTTCCAAAAATTAATTTTAGATTCCCAGAGCATCTCATACAAAAGTAATAAGCTCTCGTCTAGAATATAGAGTAGTCTTGAATTGGAAAATGTAGCACATTTTTCATTAGACAACAAGCATTTGCTTGGAAGAAATGCAATCTCCAACTGTGATGATGCTATAGAGATAGATATAACTCCATTTCATACAAAATATATTTAAAAGGGTCAAAGAGAATGCTAATGTGAATGGTCTGGAAAAAGAGATGAAAAGGAATATTTTCAATGGAAGATGTTCCAAGAGGAATTCAACATACCTGCACAATAACATTAGCAAGTAGTAGAACAGGACTGTGCAATGCCTTTGTATTGTATATGGGAACAAAGAAAGTCATACTTGCTGTAGAAAACTATTAAAATATATTAAAAGGAATTTGGCTAGTTTTTGGCATTTTTACACAATAATTGTCAAAAATAGAAATAGAATAGGAAGGATTAATTTGGAATAAATAAAATCTGAAATCATAATCAATAGTTTAAGTTTCCAAATATTTAATACTCACCTAGATAATAAGAGAAGTATTGCAAACAAGCAAAAAATAAAGGAATGGTGGAAATAGAAATGTGCCAATTAAGCTGTGTCAGTGGTATGAACAATACAAAATATTTCCACTAGGAGTAAAACAATATACTGTATATGTTTATATAAATATAACTTATATAGCTAAAAGCCTTTACTTTCAGTATATTTCTTTCTTTCAATTCTGCCTTTATTATTTTTACAAAGAACTCAAGTTGGTGAATATATCCCACACAACTTCTTCCTATTTTCCCCAACCCTCTAAGATGGGTTGAGCTGAGAGAGAGTGACTGGCCCAGTGTTACCCAACTGACTTTCATGGCCAAGGTGGCTCATGGTCTCCCTCTTTCTAGGCTATTAGCCCCTAGAACAAATTGGCTCAATGTTATCAATTGAGAAGACACCTTCCCTTCCTGATAGTCTAAATATGTTCTGTTGTTGCAATATACTAAGCTTTGAAGAAGCAGGATATTGAGACTTGAACTTTGGTGTCGGATAAGACTCTTGATAATGCTGTGGAGGACCATCAAGAGAACAAGCAAATAGGTCATCAAGCAAATTAATTCAGAGTTCTTACTTAACATACAAATTACCAGACTCAATTAATTCTACTTTATACATACTGCATTAAGGGAACACAGCTTTTTGGAAAACAGAAAGGTAGAAATATCTAAAGACTCCTCATATCCTGGATATAAACTGTTTCAACTCCTCCCTTCAGGATGCTGCAATAAGACATTGCATGCCACACTCTTTTCCCCCATGCCATCACTCTGTTAAACAACTAATTCTCACAGCACTGTCTTGTGCCTGAAGATATTTACCCATGTAGTAGTGCTGTAGTGCTATTATCCTTCTCATATTTCCTATTATCTTCTTCTATCAGTATCTTATGATTTATCATTTTGTTTCTTGCATCTTATTATTTATGATTGAATTTTATGATTTATGATTTATGACTGTTATTTACATGTACATTGAGAGCTCATGCACTGGAGACAAATTCCTTATGTGTCTAATTACACTTGGTCAATAAAGAATTATCTTCTCTTCCATTCCATGGCATGCCATGCCATTCTATTGAAAGGGAAGAAGTGGATGGCCAGCAGCAGGTTGATGGACTCAGTTACAATGGTGATGAGTACAGCATTGAAAGACTTGAAAAATCAGGTTGAATCATTTATTGGGCTCATCTATGTAATTGCGTATAGTCAACAATTATTTGATGGCACATAATCAATCAGTTACAACCAAAAGAAATTGAACAGTTGCATAATTCACCCATGATCACTTTCAATAGGAATTTCATGAACTTCTGAATAATGCACACTTTCATAATGCTACTGTAGTAACTGTACAGGAAGAAAACGAAAGACTCCATAATCATTTCCTACTAATATGTTGATGGGTTTCATTCAAGTGCTTCATGAATATGGGATAGTTGTTTTTAATGTATGTATTTAATGTCTTTCACATACTTTGTGTACTTTGTATTGATGATTTCTAACCATTATTATAATTGGTATTGTAAATGTCCCTGCATCCTCTAGAAGTGGACAGTCCATAAAAATTGCACACAAAATAAAATTTCATTTTATTGTATGATTATATTTTTCTCACAAGTTGATTTTAGAAATGCTAATTAATTTCCAAGAAGGTAAGAAACAGTATATTCCTGGACAGTCCATAAAAAATGCATACGAAATAAAATTTCATTTTATTGTATGCTTATATTTTTCTCACAAGTTGATTTTAGAAATGCTAATTAATTTCCAAGAAGGTAAGAAATAGTATATTCCAGCTAGGACTGACTTCTTTTGTTGAATATGTTGTTCCAGTTGAATAAGCTGCAGTAGAAAATAAAATAACAGCAACTAAAGTTAATTGGAAGAAATGTACTTTCAAAATATTTACTTGTTTAAGATTACTTGGGTCTACAACTTTTAATATGCTGTTCAAACAAAAGATTAAGTGGAAAATTAGCTTGTATAGAAGTAGATGTATAACAATGCCAATTTGATTTCTCATGGTTTGGTTTGCTTCCAATTGAGAAACACAAGACACTTCCCAGAGCTTTTTGTTTGACACGTTCCTTCACTGAGTGGGGAAAGATATGGATTAGACAAACCAGAAAGATTAAAGAAAGCAGACAAAATAAATTACCAATTATTCTTCTACTAGGCCACATTATTTTATGGCCCCATTACTTTGAGGAAACCATGTGGTTCTGCTTAACCTAGTTTGACTATCATGACCTATTCTAAAATTTCATATTACTAAATATTTTATCTCTGTTTGATACTCTGATGCCTGATGCTAAGGTAAAAGATGGCTGAGGGATGCCAGCAGTTGCTAAGAGAGAGGGGGCCCTTGGGATCATACTGAAATGGGGAATGGAGGTGTAGTTTTTCTCATGGTTTATAGCTCCTTTGGTTCCCTCCACCCCAGCAAAGCAACAGGCAATTCTGCAGCTTACCCAAGGAGGAGGAGGAGAATCCTGAGGGCCATGAGGAAGGGAAATAGCAAAAGCGTATATTATATGTAGGCACAGCTTTACAACTCTGGTTGGTGTGCAAGACTCTCAAACATAATTTTAAAAATATAATCACATCTGTAAACAATACTAACCTTCCTAGGAGCCAGGAGCAAGTGAGCCAACCAAGTCACAAGGGGCAGAATTTCCATAAAATAACTGTGAAGGCCTGTCATCTCCCCTACACTCTCCTGTTAAAGCAGCACCTTACAAAAGCCTCCCTTGATTATCTAACATAAGTCAAATTCATTTTGGGTGGGGGGGCTTGCTAAGAATTATTATGTTTCTTTGTAGAACAATGAAAATGAAACAATGTCACATTTTGTAACTGTTTTGGAACTTCATCTGAACTACTTTTAAAATAGGGAAGATGTGTCTAATGACAAAAAGGCCTACAGAGTAAACAAAAGTTCAATAAGTGTTAAACTACTTGACTTATTTGCTAGTGCTGATTCAACAATAACACATAACTGTCCAATGATTTACTAACATCAGAGAGAAAGATTGTTTTGATCAGTTGTAACCACAATAACATTAACATAAAATCCAAAATCATACAGAACAGTTCTACAATGTACAATAAGTCATTACAGAAATCTATATAATTCACCAGTTTGATTTACTAATTGAATAATAAATATTATACCAAATTAAATATGATTACATATTTAATATTAAAATATTAAATTAAATATGAGCTTTGGAGGTGCAGTGCTTAGAGTGCAGGACTGCAAGCTACTCCCACTGCAATTTGGCAGATCCCAACAGGCTCAAGGTTGACTCAGCCTTCCATCCTTCCGAGGTGGATAAAATGAGGACCCAAATTGTTGGGGGCAATATGCTGACTCTGTAAACCACTTTGAGGGGGTTGTAAAGCAATATAAAGCAGTATATAAGTCTAAGTGCTGTTGCTATATGCTGTAATTATGGTAAGTGAGAAATCTGATATCAACATAAATTAATTGCAATATTGCATTCTAACCACTGCGCCACCAGAGCTCATCAATATCTTTACCATTAGTGTTACTGAATAAAGTCCAACCAAATAATTTGAAATAGGTTCCTGTTCTCCCTTAATTCACAATACTAGCCTACATCATTTTCTGTGTTTATGTTATTAATTTAACAGATATTTATAGACCTGAAATTATATGATGATCAAAAATTCCCACTATTATTTTTTTTCATCAGTGGGAATAAGATACTGAAGGCAATAAGCCAAAAAGCTGGGTTTTCCCCTCCCTGTTACCTGTAAGAAAGGCATTCATGGGAAATAAGCACAAACTTAATCGTGTGCCATTTTTACTAGTGTGGGTGTTTTGGGATGTTTCATTCAAAACAAAGTGTAAATGAAACTATATTCTAATCGCAATTACAGAAGAAAGTGTAGAAGTAGACCTGTGTTACTCTGTGGTTGACAAAAATGCAGGGGGAGATTGGAAGCAGCTTTTTGATTAACAATTCATCTAATCTCACAAAAGGTTATACCATTTAATCAAATGTATTAGTCAAAAAGGTGCTACCAGACGTATGCGTGCGTGCAAGGTATCAGGGTAAAAATTTCAAGCTTTTTTGATGTATCAAATATAGTAAGAAGGAAAAAGTCTCAGAGAAAAATTTATCCAAACAGCCCACATAAAATCTTAATGTGATGTAATCTGGCTACTTTAACCTGCAGCAATATGTGGATTAGGTAAAGATTCTGGTTGGCTGCACATTCTTTTATGCGGACATACCTGATTTAATTAATACTGATAGAAACTATAAACATATCCATTGAAGCTTGCTGATAAAGAAATTACCACCTTGTGAATAGTACCTTAGTTAAGCGTAATGAAATCTTTGAAAATGCAATCAATGGCAAACCCAAGATGAATATCTGTAAATCTCTTTCTAAAAAACATTGTTATCATTGAGGGGGTTTGGGCCTTCAAAAGTTTGAATTATAATTCAGGGGAAAGAGAGCTGATCTATAATTTTAAATTTTAGAAGCATAAAAATGTTGGTGTTTATAAAAGATGGAAGTATTTTTGTTTTATATATGCCTCGATTACTGCAAAATCCAATTAACATTGAATTTTTATACCTTTGAATCTTGCATTCAAGCCAGCCTCTAGAAAACAGAGTTGCTTGGGGCATAAGAAAAAGTTCAGAGGTCATGGATGAAGAAAAATTAAGATGTTTGAGAAATGGATAATGAAAACGTTTTTGAACGATTGACTTTGTTGTTGAATTCCCCCAAGTGAGCATGCTTGTGAGGAGCTAGGTGAAAGAGTGCTTATTAACTTTGCCTGGTTTTTGTGAAGTTCCATGGGAATTGCAAGAATGGATTTTTATTAGCTTTTTAAAAAAAGAATGATCACAGAAAGTCCATTATTGTAAAAAAAAAAAAAAAAGATCTGTTATTAAAATGTGTTATTGATTTGTAATTTATTTTTAAGATTATTTAATGGATAAATCAACCCTGATAAGGCTGTGATTGTCCATTGTCTTTTGTTGAATGAGTTCATTAGAATAAATATTTGGCAAATCGGCTAGCTTGTGCTATTTCATAAAAATTTAAAACAAAAGTGACTAAATTAGTAGACCAGTGACTAAATTAGTAGACCGGCAAAATACTGTGGACATAATATACAGTATTTAGATTTCAGTAAGGCATTTGACAAAGTAGACCACAACCTACTTCTTAGTAAGCTAGAAAAAAGTGGAATAGATAGCACCACCACTAGATGGACTTGCAACTGCCTGGCAAACCGTACTCAATGAGTAGTCCTTAATGGGTCTAAGTCTACATGGAAGGAAGGAAGCAGTGGGGTGCCACAAGGTTTCGTTTTAGGCCTAGTACTCTTCAATATCTCCATTAACAACTTAGATGAGGGAATAGAAGGGGAACTTACCAAATTTGCAGATGATACTAAGGTAGCAGGAATAGCTAACACCCAAGAAAATAGGCTCAAGATCCAGATGGATCTTGACAGACTAGAACACTGGGCCATATCTAACAAAATAAAATTTAATGTAGAGAAAAGTAAAGTCCTACACTTAGGCAAGAAAAACCAAAAGTACACATATAGACTGGGTGAAACCAGGCTCAATAGCAGTAACTGTGAGAGGGATCTTGGAGTCTTAGTGGACAGCCAGCTAAATATGAGCCAGCAGTATGCAGCAGCAGCCAAAAAAGCTAATGCAATCCTAAATTGTATTAACAAAGGGATACAATCAAGATCAAGAGAAGTACTAATACCACTCTATAAAGCCTTAGTAAGACCACACCTAGAGTACTGCATCCAGTTTTGGTCACCACATTATAAAAAAAGATGTTGAGACTCTAGAAAAGGTGCAGAGAAGAGTAACCAGGATGATTAGGGGACTGGAGCTAAAACAAACAATGAACGATTGCAGGAACTGGGCTTGGCTAGTCTAGTAAAGAGAAGGACCGGGGAGACATGATAGCGGTCTTCCAATATTCCAATATTCCACAGAGAGGAAGGAGTCAAGCTATTTTCTAAAGCGCCTGTGGGGCAAACAAGGAATAATGGATGGAAACTGAACAAGGAGAGATTTAATCTGGCAATAAGGAGAAACTTTCTGACAGTGAGAACAATAAACCAATGGAACAGCTTGGCCTCGGAAGTTGTGGGAGCGCCATCACTTGAGACTTTCAAGAAGAGATTGGACTGCTATTTGTCAGAAATGGTGTAGGGTCTACTGCTTGAGCACGGGGGTTGGACTAGATAACCTACAAGGTTCCTTCCAACTCTGATTATTTGTTAAATCTGTTAAAAGATTCACTGGAGTTATTTGTTCTAATATTCAGTTTGTTTTAAAAATTTAGCTGCCTTATGATTTGACTTCTTGAAATTTCAAAAGCATTTAAACATAAACAGTTTTATAGTAAAATAATTCCTCCTAACAAAACAATTTAAAAAATTATTCTGGATGTTTACTCGCAGTTTCAAATTATGTCAGAAGGTATAAGGTACCAGTATATGAGCTGTGGTGGCACAATGGTTAGAATGCAGTCTGCAGGCTACTTCTGCAGCCGGCAGCCGGCAGTTCAGCAGTTCAAATCTTGAATCTTCCATCCTTCTGAGGTCAGTAAAATGAGCACCCAATTATTGGTGGCAGTATAAACCACTTAGAGAGGGCTGTAAAGCACTGAGAAGCGGCATATAAAGCTGAGTGGTATTGTTATAAGTCATAGAAACAACAGAAGATTTCCATAAAGAAAATACTACTTCCTTACTCTTCACTCTATTTTCGGGTAAATAATTGCTGTTTTCATTAATAAATGAAAACATAGTAAGAACATGTGAAAAATGTAAGGATAAGTTGACTTATTCTTTTAGCCCCTCTATTCTGGAGTAACAGATAGAAGTTATGGCAGTGTGAAATTACCAAAAGAGCCTTGTTTGATCAGATCAAAAGTCCATCTAATCCGGCATTTTTTTTTTCTGGACTGCTGGAGGGAAAATAATAAGGTAGGGACAAAGACATTCCTCTTCTATTTGGGTGTTGAAAATAACTGTCACTGAAAAGGAAAGTTTCACTTAAGTCTACTAAGAATTATTAGACATAATAACTACCATTAATTAATCTAGCCACTTTTCAAGTCATCTAAGCTTCGGAAGTGGATTTCATAATAGTTATGTGTCTGCTCAAATTCACTACTAGTCACTGGCTAACTGGGGTTTTGGTATTATGAAAAACAGCCTGAATAATTTCATTTTCTCTTCACTCCAATCATATTTGGAGGTAATTATCACATTATGAACAGTAAGGAAAGAAATGCATTGCCCTCCTCCTTCACAAAATACTAAAATCTTGAATTTTCCAGTGGCTGAATGATAGAATCAAATAAAAATATTTCTTCATTTTATTGTCCAGGGTTCTATTAATTCATGATCCTATCAAGGATTGAATTTCTTGCACTATTTCAAAGTTTCCAAATATTGAGAATATTAATTATTATTTATTTATTTCATGAATCCATTTTCATATACTGTAGTCAATTTTTTTTAAAAAAATGTTAAACTTATTTATTTATTTATTTACTTAATGTACTGTATACAGCTACCAATTTATCCAAACAAATTCTGGGTGTTAAAAAAGGAAAATATTCTTAAACCAAATCAAACAAAAATAAATTCAGGCTCATGAAATCTCAGTAACTACTAATTAGATGTAATGGTGTCAGTGCTCTTGTCACTAACATCCTAGCCCCATTGCCTGGGTGAAGAACCAGTTTTTCACAGCCTTCTGAAAGGGGCAAGCCATATTTTGGGTCAGGGGACTGCTGTTCCATATGATAGGTGCCCTGACAGTAAGACTGGCTTCTTGGGACCTATAAAGTGACATTGATTCATTGAGGGCACCTGAGGCATGAGCACTCTTCCAGATCGATTAGAAACCCCTGGGGAATAGCAATAATTCTTGAGACAAATAAATCTACTAGACAAGAAAATGAGCAGGTAACAGCACCTAACTATGGTCAAGGATAGTCAGTCAGTGTTTGAAAGCAAAAATAGTCATGAATTTTCAAACTTTAATAGATTTGATAACTTGGAGCTATAGGTAGATGTGGACTCGATAAAAGGGAAGTAAAGTTTTTATTTGATTATTTTTCTTAGAAGGAGCCTGGGTTGGCTAATTAAAAGGCTGACTTTAAAGATTTACCTCTAGGATGGCCATTTTTAAATAAAAAATGCAAGAGTAAAGCTAGGTTTTTTTTTTAATGAGACATACCCTTTGACTTAATTAAAAGTAATGGACTCCTAAACTCAATCAGCAACAGACTAGTAAACAAAATATAATCAAGACTTTGTGTAATTGTGTGAGGGTTGTT